TGAATTTGACCAAACATTTGAGGAAGAAATTGTACCAATTCTCTACAATCCCCTCCCGAAAAGAGAACAGAGAGAACATTCCCTAACTCATTCTATTACCAAGACACTGAAACCAGACTTAAGGCATGTACGAAAAAGAAAGCACGGACCAGTATCTCTCATGAACACAGATGCAACTAAGTGTTGGCAAACTGAATCTAACTATGTGTAAAAGGAATTATACACCATAATGAAGTGGGGTTTATTTCAAGTGTGCTGGTTTGACTGGCTGGTTCAATAGTAAAAAATTAATTAATGTAATCTATCATACCAACATGCTAAAGAAGAAAACTCATATGATCATATTAGTGATGCAGAAGAGCATATGACAAAATCCACCATTCATTCTATGATTGAAAACTCTCAGCAAACTAGGAAGAGGGGAGAACTTCAACTTGATAACGAACATCTACAAAAAAACCCTGCCGCTAATGTCATGCTTAATGATGAGAAACTGAACACTTTACCCTTATGACTGGGAACAAGGCAAGGATATTCCCTCTTACCACTCCTTCTCAACACCTTACTTACTGGAAGGCCTACCTAGTGCAATAGATAGGAAAAGGAAATAAAACCTAAACAGATTGAGAAAGAAGAAATAAAACTGTATTTGTTCACAGATGGAATTACTGTTTACATAGAAGGTCCTGAAGAATCAACAAAAAAACTTCTGTGAATACAACAACATCAAAGCACACAAGGTTAACAATATATAACTGTGGACTGCTTTCCCGCATAACAACAGAAAACAATCAGAATTTGAAATAGAGAATTCCCTGGCGGTCCAGTGGTTAGGACTCCATGCTTTTACTGCTGAGGGCCCAGGTTCAATCCCTGGGGTTGGGAAACTAACGTGCCGCAAGCAATGCGGTGTGGCAAAAAAAAAAAAAGTACCATTTACAATAGCATACACACAAAAATGAAATAATTAGGTATAAATCTAATGATGTACAGGCTCTACATGAGGAAAACTACAAGACTGACGAAAGAAATCAAATATCTAAATAAATGAGGAGACAGTCCATGTTCACAGACTAGAACACTCAACATTATTAAGATGTCAATTCCTTCCCAACTTGATCTTAGATTTATGTAATCCTAGTCAAAATTCCAGCAAGCTGTTTCATAGATATTAACAGATTCTAAGATTTATATGAAAAGACAAAAGACCTAGAATAGCCAACACAATACTGAAGAACAAAGTCGGGGAACTCATACTCTCAACTTAAAAACTTACTGTAAAGCTACAGTAATCAAAACAGAGTGGTAAAAAAAAAACAAAAAAACCCCCCAAAAAACCAGAGTGGTACTGGCAAAAGAACAGACAAGTAGATCAATGGGACAGAATACAGAGCTCAGAAATAGACTTTCACAAATACAGTCAACTGATCTCTGGCAAAGCAGCAAAGGCAATTTAATTAAGAATAGTCTTTTCAACAAATGATTATGGAACAATTGGACATCCATGTTCAAAAAAACCCCGAAAACCAAAACCCAAAAGACTTTACACAGACCTTACGACTTTCAAAATAATTATCTCAAAATTGATAATTATAGCCTAAATGTAAAACACAAAACTATAAAACCACTATGACAACACATAGGAGAAAACCTAGGTGACCTTGGGTTTGGTGATGAGTCTTTAGCTATTATCCAAAAGCACAATTCATGAAAGAAAAAACTGATGTTGTACTTTATTAAAATTAAAAACTGCTCTTCAAAAGGTACCATTTATTAAGTAAATGGCAACATAAGCTACAGACAGGGAGAAAATATTTGCAAAACACACATCTGAAAGAGGACTGGTATCAAAAATATATAAGGAACTCTTAAAACTCAATCAGAAAACAAACAAGCTAATGAAAATATGGGCAAAGATCTGAACAAATACTTCATCAAAAATGATATGAAGATGGCAAATGAGCATTTGAAAAAATGCTCAACACCGTATCGTTAGGGAACTGCAAATGAAAATAATGAGAAACCACTACACACCTGTTCGAATGGCTAAAATCTAAACACTGACAACACTAAATATTGACGAGGATGTGAAGCAACAGGAACCCTCACTCATTGCTGGTGGGGCTGTAAAATGGTACAGCTGCTTTGGAATATAGTTTGGAAGTTTCTTACAAAACTAAACATGGTTTTACCTTATGACTCAGCAATCACATTCCTAGGTTTTTACTCGACTGATTTAAACCTGAGATTCCACACGAGAAGCTGCATTCAAATGTTCACAGCAGCTTTACTCGTAATAGTCAAGAGCTGGAAGCACCAAGATGTCCTTCAGTGGGGAAATGGGTAAACAGACTGTGGCATAGTCACACGGCAGTAAAAAGAAACAACTTAGGATACATTTAACACATGGAAGAACCTCAAATTATGTTGAGCAAGAGAGCCAGACACAAATAAGTACATACTGTGTGATTCTATTCACACGAAATTCAAGAACAGACAAAACTAATGGGTGTGGGTGGGAGGACACAGGTGTACTTGACTACAAAGGAGCTCCTTCTGAGGTTACAGTAATGTCATGTATCTTTATCTGGATGTTAGCCACGGTTGTATATGTGTGTCAAGATGCACAAATCTGTAAATTTAAGATTTGGGTATTTTACTCTTTGTAATTACATCACAATAAAGCTGATTATTTAGGAGGGAAAAGTCAAGATAGTGGTTATTTTAGGGAGAGGTAGAGCGCTGTGATTGGGATAGAGCATTCTGTGACTAGCAAAGTTCTATTTCTTACTCTGGGGGACCATTTCAAAGTTGTTCTTCTTTTAAGAACTTATAAAGCTATACATTTGTTTCATGTACTTTTCTTTACCTGTGCTGTATTTTACTATAAAAAAGTACAAAAACTTAACATCCTTTCAAAGGTGTCCATTTTATCACAGGTTGGGGTGGACTATATAACCTCTAAATAACTTCTAAACTCTAAAACTGTGTGATTCTATATTATTACTATGATAAAAATCAATGAAAATATTCTAAAGCATTTTCTATTTAATGATCTTTTGAAATACCCAGGTTTAAGAAAATAATATGAAAGATTTTCTAGACCAAGCAGATGGATTAAAACTTTTTCCCCAGGGACTTCCCTGGTGGTCCAGTGGCTAAGACTCCCCGCTCCCAAGGCAGGGGGCCTGGGTTCAATCCCTAGTCAGGGAACTAGATCCCCACGCCGCAACTAAGAGTTTGCACGCCGCAACTAAGACATGACTCAGCCAAATAAATAAATAAATATTAAACAAAAACAAAAACTTTTTCCCCCAGATTTATGTTTAATTTTCTACTGTAAAGAACAGAAACCATATCGACGTCCTACCTCAAATATATTTCTAATTCTTTCTCATCTTTAAGTATGTGATTGATAGTTTTCTGGACCAAGAGCCACTGGGTGTCTGGACTTCTCAGCACTATCTCCTGGTCATAAATCCCTGGAAAGTACAACCAACATAAAATCACCAATTAAGGTGTGTACTGACGTTTATCCATACAAAGAACAGAAACGTACAAAGTAGCTGTGTCTGTAATAACCAAAATCTAATAACCTGAATGTCTTTCTACAGGTGAATGCAGAAACAACTTGTGGAAGGAATATCCATATCCATACAATGGAATGCTTGCTACTCAGCAGTAAAAAGCAATGAACTATTGAAACAAGCCACATGAGCGAATCTCAGCATAGATTTCCATTATGCTGAGTAAAAGAAGCCAGACTCCCTCCCTCAAAAAAGAATATACTGTGTGATTTCGTTCAAATGAAATTCCAGAAAATGCAATCTAGAGTGACAGAAAGCAGATTAATCTTTGCCTGGAGATGGGGGCGGTGGTGAGGCAGGGAGGGGGTGAGAGGCAAGAAATCACAAAGAGGCACAAGGAAAATTTGGGGTCTGATATCTTCACTCTCTTCATCGTGGTGATGGTTTCATGGGCATATATGTATGTAAGATCTTATCAGACTGTATACTTTAAGGTGCTTTGTTTTTAAATAATGCTGTAGACACATATAATTCATCTCCCCCTCCACCCTCTCCTATCTTCTGATCATACTGTCCTCATAAGGCGAGGGAAAACAGAAAACACCACCGTTCTAACCTGCACTGACAGCAAAGTTTGTACTGACAATCTTCCTGTGACCAGGGTTATCGAAGTTTTGTTTAAACAGAGGTAACAATTCTTTGAGACAGAATAGGTCTATAAAGCAGGATCCAAAGTACCTGGGTCCTGTCCTTCAGAGCCAGCACATCACATATACCTGGGCAATATGTACAGATGAGAAATGGAGGCAAGGAGCCCTGTGCTAGCACAGGCACTATACTGCACACAACACTAAACCGGCATCGTCTAGTACACAGTCAGTAATATCTTCAGGTTGAAACACTCTAGTGAAGCAGCCTTGACTGTTCCGAGGACCTCTTTAGCTTACGCTATGCAGGCCATGTGGCCTAACCGGGGGAAGGCTGAAAGCCTGCTTTGCCTCTCTCTTCCCCAATCCTACAACAGATGAGAGTTTACCATTCCAGTTCGAGGAAGGCTGTCCCAGGAGGGCCATCTCTGGTCCCAAAGACTGGATCACTCGGCATGGACTCCTGTCTCAGATCTATGCAGGTCAAGGCAAAAAGCAAGGCTGGGCTTCCCACTTGAGCTAGTTCACAGGAAGCAACCTTGTAAAGAAACTCCACTCTCCTGGAAGCTCTACCCCTAACTGTCCTATAACATGACCAATTTCTATCTGCAGAGGGATACAATGTAGTCTCGTATTTAAGATAACCAAAAGCCAACAGGCTTCACCATCTGTGACATCTTCAAGATACGAGGGTAAGTGGAACTCTATGTGGAACAACAAAACTTTAACGGAGTAGACTCAACAACGTGAGAGAAACTACAGTGGGGTAAACACTCGAGCGATGTGCAGTACAGCACTGATTAACTTATAAAAAGATGTAAACTGCTTCTGTACAAAAACCTCTTTGAGTCCTTTATTAACGTTTGGAGATGTGTGGTACATACAATTAACAGCATCACACCAGCTACAGAAGTACAGGTAACCAAGAATGTACTTCAGAACAAAGATCTCAGAGCAACTTATGGTGTTGCCTGCTCCGAACCTCCACAAAAACCCAACTCTGACACACGCAGGACAGACAATATAACAATTTCACTTTGAAATGGTTCTTTAAAAAAATGACAAGAATCGATAGTTCAAACCCTTTAAAGTGAGATGTGGCAGGTCTCTCGGTGCCATGGCACTGCTTTAGAAGGCCAGCGTGGGCATCTGAAGGTCAGAGTAAGGACCGACTGGGGTGAAGGGAAGAGGTTCGATTTTCAGCGTAGAGAGAGAACAGATGGTCTGAGTGGGTACTTTCAGTCCAGGCTCAGTATGGGTCCTGCAGGAATCCAGCAGATAAATACAGTTTATCAACTGGAAGGCTGAAAAACGCCAGCCAGTCACTTGTGTCACTGATTCCAACTGGGAGACACTGATGCATCAGGAATCATGTACGACATGGTAAGTCTAAGAGGGAGACGCCTGAAAGAAAGACTGGAGTCCACTGTGTCAGATCAGCTCTGATCCTTCCGTGTCACTGGATGCTATGGGCCCGTCTGCTTTCGAGCGTGAGTTAAGGAACGCTTTCTTAATTTCAATGTTCTGCTTTGAAAATAACCAAAGCCCTCCCCCACCCCCAACACCATTCTTCATAAATTCTGTTTCCAAAGTCCTGATTCGGGGTCTAGACTTTTTCCTTTCGCTTCAATTTTGACACCTTCTTGACAGTCCCATTCTTATTTAGAAGCTTCAGGACACGATCTTTGTGATCTAAAACCTTAAGCATGGAGTCTCTGGCCTCACTGATTTGATCCATCACAAGTTTACACCTCTGCATATTCCCCTGAAACAAAAGACATCACATCGTCAGCAAGTAATCTTCGAAACAATGGGGCTTTTGAAGAACTTCTCACCTTTGGATTGAGCCATTCTGAGGCTTTCACACAGAAAAAATGTTTTAGTGTTCCTTGATAATGCAGGCTGAAGTAACAGGTTTTTACTAAAGACATTAGTGGGCGAGAGAGGGAAAGGGAGAAGTAAGGAGAGCGAAAGGACCCTTCAAACCTGTATCAGTTCATTTATTCGGTGTAGGTCATCATCAGTTGCTGCCTTTTTCTTTGGGATGATCCCTTCCTGTAGGTTGGTGAGTCTTTCGTAAACATCGTGTTCTAGATTTGTCTGCAACAAACAAGAGGCAGGGCGTCATGACCTCGGAGATACTTTTGCCAAACTCAGGCGAGCAACCCACCCTGAATCACCTGTGTAAACTGGTATCGGATCTGTTTGGGTGATAAAATCACTTCTCCCTATGACTAAGATGCAGTAAAGAAAATTGATCAACAATTTACATTACAATTTGCCATAATTCAGAGTCCATCTTCCAGGATAACTTTTGTTTTTAAATTAGTTTATTTATTTTTGGCTGCATTGGGTCTTCGTTGCTGCACACGGGCTTTCTCTAGTTGCAGTGAGTGGGTGCTACTCTTTGCTGGGTGCGTGGGCTCTAGGCACTCAGGCTTCAGTAGTTGTGGCTCACTGGCTCTAGAGCGCAGGCTCAGGAGTTGTGGCGCACAGGCTTAGCTGCTCTGTGGCATGTGGGATCTCCCCGGACCAGGGCTCGAACCCGTGTCCCCTGCATTGGCAGGTGGATTCCCAACCACTGTGCCACCAGGGGAGCCCCCAGGATAACTTATTTCTTTATTTGTTTGTTTGTTTGGTCGCACCACACGGCATGTAGGATCTTAGCTCCTCGACCAGGGATCAAACCCGTGCCCCCTTGCAGTGGAAGTGCGGAGTCTTAACCACTGGGAAGTCCAAGGATAACTTTTAAATTCTGCCAGGAATTCACAATCCCTCTGAAAAACAAGTCTATAAGTTTCAGAGAAATATGCTTTTATGCTACATAAAAAAAACTAGTCATGGCACTACTTTAAAAACAATACTCATAAAAGACAATGTTCTTCGGATCATTGCTACTCCAAAGATGGAAAGACTTTGTGAGGCTATTTTTTTTATTTTTATATTTTGCGGTACGCGGGCCTCTCACTGTTGTGGCCTCTCCCGTTGCGGAGCACAGGCTCCGGACGCGCAGGCTCAGCGGCCATGGCTCACGGGCCCAGCCGCTCCGCGGCATGTGGGATCTCCCCGGACCGGGGCTCGAACCCGTGTCCCCTGCATTGGCAGGCGGATTCTCAACCACTGCGCCACCAGGGAAGCCCGAGGTTATTATTTTGATCACCTCCTCTTTACCTTGTTGAAGGAAGGATTCCCGCCTAGGGTTATGGAAAGGGCTGAACACCTAACACATTGGACAGAAGGGATCAACAGCAGTTTACTAGTCAGTATACTCTCAGCCCAGGGGAAGAGGACACCGCACACCACGCACGGCCACATGGGGGCTGCACTCCATGACAAGCAGGGAACGGAGTGAAGGAGTAGGGGCTGTAGGAGGCAGGCACTGAAGTATCAAGAGGGAGCGGTGCCCCCTGGTGCTCCCGGGAGGATGGCACTGGCTTATCTGAGTATCGCAAGCTGGCAGAGAACTGAAGCCCACTATTCAGGAAGAAGTGGGAACTGTGCCTGGTCCCCACGACAAGGAGCAGCGTGAGGAGGAGGAGCTTACACAGCTGGGTCATCTGACGCCCCCTCTTTTTCAGATGTCACGGCAACAGGTAACACTGAACCTTAACTGTACATCTTACAAACTTAAGTTGTTCAGTATATTTCACTTATGGGGACCAAAACTAAGATATATTTAGATTACAATTACATCCATCCACAGAATAGGTAACAGTAATTATAATACCACACAGCACACATAAAAATTCTACCACGACCCACGTTAACTGGGAACACTTCGGAATCACTCTAAAGAAAATGTTCTATGAACTCAGACGTCTCCAGCATCCATCCTTCTTTTCAGCAGGACGTAACAACTGCTAGAGCGCCACCTACCAGCTGCAGCAACTGGGCAGCACAGAGGTGAACCTTCCAGCCTTGGGCACGACAGGATACTCCTTTCTGATTAGCTATTTCCTGCAGCATAGCTTTCTTCTCCTCTGGAACCATAAAAAAAAAAAAAAAGTATATTTCAATTTTTATAGAGCTAAAGTCATTTGTGTTCAAGCCACTACTTTAATTAAGAACTTTACTTAAATATCTTTAAGTCACTGAAAATACAAGTCACAACATGAATAAAAGCTCTTTGTGTCCACACCAGAAGAATTCTTTAGAGACCTACTGTGCTAATCTAGTGAGTTCAAAAGAGAGTAAGTCAGTACTCTAAACTCTTAAATGAAGGAAATGGTCTTTAGTGGGTTGGAGCCTTGCTCATGTGTGAAGCTTGCCAGCATGTGGAGAGTTTGGGCATGAAGCTTAGAAGCTCCGTGGTGTTATCTAGATCTTGGAGAAGTTACAGGGCTCCAACTTGGGTCACATTTAAATGTAGGTAGAAAAGTCCAGTAACCAGCACTGTAGTAAAATAAATATGAATTGTATCATTTGGACTGGGGAAAGAAACTAGGATTGAGGGGTACCTGTCAAAGGTGAGTTTGGCTGTATCTGTGAAGTTTTAATATCACTGTTTAACTAGGACTTAAAATGTAATTACATAGTACATGGATAGTTAAAAAACATTTTTTAAATTAAAAACCTTATTTTATTATTTTAAAAATTAATCTTGAAAAAACCCTACCTAGATGTTTGTCAAAACTTGATACAGTATACAATGCCAAGACCAAACTGGACCGTAAATGATGATCTTTGGGTGATACTTGTATGTCAGTTTAGGTTCAGCAGATGCAACAAATGCACCACTTTGTGGTGGTGGTGACGGTAGGGGAGGCTGTGCATGTTCGGGAGGGGGTGGGGGTGGGACATGGAATATCTCTTTTGATATGGTTGTGTACCTAAAACTGACAAACTTTACTTCTCAGAGCAATTAAAAAAAAACCTCTGTCTACTAGACAAATATTAGCATAAATGGGATGAAAGAATTTTAACCTTTTTGAGAGAACTGTAGATTCACATACAATTGTAAGGAATAACACAGGGAGATCCCATGTACTTTTTTTTTTCACATCTTTATTGGATTATAATTGCTTTACAATGTTGTGGATCCCGTGTACTCTTTATCCACTTTCCCCCAGTGGTAAGATCTTGCAAAACTACAGTCAATATCACAACCATGACACTGACAGAGTCCACTGACCCTATTCAGATTTCACCAGTTTTAGATGGATGTGTATATTTCATTACGAGCATTAAAAAAAACTTTTTCGTTTCACAGAAGTTGCAAAGATAGTCTAGAGATATATCTGGTAAGGGACCTGTATCTAAAACATAAGAAGAATTCTTACCACTCAATGATAAAAAGACAAACCAATTAAAAAGGGCAAAGGATCCAAAAAGACATTTCTTCCAAAAAACATATACAAATGGCCAACATCACATGAAGATATTCAACATCACTAGGCATTAGGGAAATGTAAGTCAAAACCACAGTGAAGTACCACTTCCGACCCATTAGGATGCTGTAATAAAAAAAAGAGTAAGTGCTGGTGAGGATATGGAGAAATCCGAAGTATCCTCATGCACTGCCGGTGGGAAAAATGTATTTACTTTGGAAAACGGTCTGGGAGTTGCTAGAATGTTAACTATAGCTACCAAATAACCCAGAAATTCTATTCCTAGGTATATGTCCAAGAGAAATGAAAACAGATGTTCCCACAAAAATGTAGACACATGGGGCTTCCCTGGTGGTGCAGTGGTTAAGAATCCACCTGCCAATGCAGGGGACACGGGTTCGAGCCCTGGTCCGGGAAGATCCCACATGCTGCGAAGCAACTAAGCCTGTGTGCCACAACTACTGAGCCTGCGCTCTAGAGCCCACGAGCCACAACTACTGAAGCCTGCACGCCTAGAGCCCGTGCTCCACAACAAGAGGAGCCACCACAATGAGAAGCCCGCGCATCACAACAAAGAGTAGCCCCCGCTCGCTGCAACTAGAGGAAGCCCACGCGCAGCAATGAAGACCCCACGCAGCCAAAAATAAATAAAATAAATTTATAAAAATGCAGACACAAATGATCACAGCACCATTATTCATAATAATCAAAAAGTGGAAACAACCCAAATGCCCATCAAGTGATGAATGGATAAATAACATGTGGTATATATCCATAAAATAGAATATTATTCGGCAGGAAAATGGAATGAAGTACTCATACATGCTACATGGATGAACCTTGAAAACATTACACTAAGTGGAATAAGCCTGTCACAGAAGACTGTATAATATATGATTCCGTTCACAGGAAATGTCCAGCACTGGAAATCTACAGAGATGGAAAGCACATCAGAGGTTGCCTAGGGCTGGGGGTATAGGGAGGAGTGAAGATGGCAGGGTTGGGGAGGATGGCTAAGGGTCGTGGAGTCTCTTATTGGGGTAATGAAAATGTTTTAAAACTCACCGTAGTGATGGACGTGCAACTGTGAACATACTAAAAATCACTGAATTGTACATGTTAATAGATGAATTGTATGCTACATGAATTATAGTGCAATAAAGCTATTACTGGGGAAAAAAGACAGTAAAGAGAGGTCAGGTATTTCTCCTTCACCACTGTCTACATCTTAATAACTGTAGTACAGTATCGCACCCAGGAAACCGCCACTGATGTAAAGTGAGTATATGCCATTACATCATTTTAGACTGATGTGACTGCCACCGCAATCGAGATTCAGAACTATTGCATCCCCACAGACATCTCTCCTGTGCCACACCTTTATGGTCACACCACCCCTGCCCCATGATTAACCCCCAAATCCACTAATTTGTTCTCTATCTCTATAATTTTGTCACTTAGAGATTGCTATATAGATAGAATCACATGATATGTCTTCTTTTTTTTCTTTTTGGTATGTGTCCTCCTAAGATTAGCTGTTTCCACTAAGCATAAGCACAATGCCCCTGAGCTATTACATGATCAATAGTTCTTTCCTTTCCATCCCTGAGTAGTAGTCAATGGCACTATAGTTTGTTTAACCGTTTGATGTCACTTGTGTTGTTTCCAGATTTTGGCTATTACCAAAAAGTTGCTATGAACACCTGTGTACGGATTTTTGTGTGAACACAGGTTTTCATTTTTCTGGGATAAACGCCCAGGAGTGCAACTGTTGGGTCATATGGTAAGTGTATGTTTGGTTTTTATAAAACTGCTAAACTTTTTTTTTTCCAGAGTAGCTCAGCAATGTGTAAGAGACAACTGACTTGTGATATGACAGTGTTCTTTTAAGCTGCTTCCCCAGTGAAACTGGGGAAAATTTTTAAATAACACTTTAAACCTCTGGGAAAGGTCCTAAGGGCAAAGAGCAAAGCAGAAACATCTACTCAAGCAAATCTATGAAAATGTGGAAAGAACAGGAAGTCTGTGGTATTTAAACCAAGACTGCTCCCTCTCTCCTCTCTCCAGTTGAGAGGCGGTGACTCCATCCCAGATTGCTGCATCCCAGCCCACAGAGCCCCCTCTCCGCCAGCCGCTAGGGAGATGGCTCTCCTCCAAGGAGAAGCGAGACATTTCTCATCCTGCTCCGTGCTCCCTGCTGCTGAGGCCAAGTCCCGGGCGAGTCTAACTGACATGGGGGCTCCCTTCTTTTGCTCAACCCCACTTGTGGGATGGAGACTGTACCTTAGGCAAGGCGTGCTGAGAACACTGGGGCCCCAGGAGCCCTTCTCCTGGCTTGTTAAACGGTGGCGTCACATTAGGAGAGGCAAACCAAGCGGACATACCCCAGGCTACTCACTCCTCTTCCCCTACCCTGAGTGCTCACCTCCTACAGCAAGGTGTTACTCGGAGAAAAGGCTGTCACTGTCCCACTCCCACCTCCAGAGCCCTAGGCTCAGAGATTCTGCCTGGAGGGAGAAACAGGCCATAGCACGGGAAGCTTCTAATCTCTTCCCAAAGGAAGTGGCTCCATTTTTAACAGAGTACGCAAGTTCATATGCTCCCCAAAGCAGTGGAGAGTGCAGTCAAAGTAGGAGGAAACGTACAGACCCAGCGAAAGGCGCGGCCTAGACTGTGGGCTGACCAGTTTTCAGGAGAGAACAAAGAGTAAGACAGCTGGCAGGAGCTCTCCTGGGGGCAGAACCAACATCAAACACTGACCTCAGAAACCATTCTGGCAAGGAGCTACAATACGACTGGATTAGGTTGCAGAGGAATTTGTGTTTAAGGTCAAATTCCAGTACTGTGTTCTAGGAAATCAAATGGCAAGCAAGTAGTGGGGTTTATCAGCTGGATGTAGTCAGGGAAACAGTGGGGGAGAACCGTACTAATGCCACTGTCTTCCCAGGTGACTGTGGGCACCCAAAGCTGTGCCTCCCCAAGGAGTAACGTCAGAGGCTTATTAACACTTGGTGGTGTTGGCGGGGTGCAGGTGATTAGACTTCACTAAAAGAATCCAGCCAGTCGCTAAACAGATAAACAAGCAAATAGCAAATAACTATAGTGGGTCTTGGAGGAGATGGGGAGATCAGTACCAGGAGTTGCTACAATATAGTATCTAAAATGTCCAGTTTCTAACAAAAATTATGAGGCATGCAAAGAAACAGGGAAGTATGACCCATACACAGGGAAAGAGAAACAGGCACCAGAAACTGCTTGAGAGAGTGACCAGATGTCAGATTTATCAGAAAAAGATTTCAAAGTAGCCGTTATGAATAAATTCACAGAATGAAAAGCATGAGTGAAGAAGGTATGATGATCATGTCACATTAAATAGAGAAAATCAGTAGAGAGAGAGAAATTACTTTTTAAGAAAAGAACCAAATGGAAATTCTGGAGTTAAAAAGTACAGTAAACAAAATGTTAAAAATCTACTAGAGGGGCTCAACAGTAGACCTGAACTGGTACAAGAGAATTAGTAAAGTTGAAGACAGACCAACGGCACTGAAGAACTGAAGGGAGAAAGAAATGAAGAAGAATGAACAGGGCCTCAAAGAAACATGAAACACCACTAAGAGCACCAAAACATGTATAAAGAGAGAAAGGAGGAGAAA